TGTAAAGCGTGCACCCTTTGCATTGAAAAATGCATTTTTTAATTAGAAGTTTTAGCTTTAGTACGTAGTACTCTTGCCTTACCATTTGGAGCATTAATCGTTTTTCTGCGTGAAGAAGCAGCGAGTGTAAAAACTCCAAATATAGCTGGCAGAACCTCGATTCGGTAGGGAGAATTATTGGGTGCCTATCATTATAGCTCAATGTGGAATGTGCTAATCGGCCATTAACCCTTAGAAGTCCGTCTTTGTTCAACGAAGGATTGAGAACAAGAAGAGGACTTTTTTTGTTAAGTGGCTTTTTATCTTGCAAAGCGCTTTTTTCGCTCGGAAAATGGCGTGATTGCGCTGCGTTGATAAGACGAATTTTTGCAAATTGAAATTCGTTATGTGTCAGATACGGATAAGTGATTGTAGCTAACCCCTTTGATTTGTTGCGGGCATAGCTCACGAAGTGGAACATGTACGCAGTCACGCGGAGTGCTCGAGAGAAAGAAGAAAAGCGATCAAGAAGATCGACCTCTTCTTCGAGCGCGTGATATACCTCCACCTTGCGCTTTTCTGGTGGAGATGCACTGCATGCGTTTGACCTTGGCCATGCATCCATGTGGCAAAAGAGCCATTTTGGTCCGTGCCACCAGATTGGGGAATTTGCCAAGTTCTGCGGTTTGCAACCACGGGTGCCGAGGTCGGCTGGATTGTCTTGGCTGGCAACATGGCGCCATGTACCGGTTGAAAGATATTCCCGGATTTGGGAGGTACGATTGGATACATACGTCTTCCATGTACATGGTGGCTTTTCAAGCCAAGCTAGCACAATCTCTGAATCTGACCATAAGAATGAATGCACGATTCAAATTTGAGCTGTTTTCGAACATTTGCGACCAGTTTTGCTAGTAAGACTGCACCCCACAGCTCCTGGCGTGGCAAGCTTACCGTCTTCAATGGTGCGACTTTGCTTTTTGCAACCAAGAGAGTGGAATATCTTTGGTTGCTAGCATCTACGCGGATGTAAATCGCAGCGCAATATGCTTTTTCCGAGGTATCGCAAAACCCGTGGATTTGGGTATCTTTCCCCGGAGTGACATTAAGCCATCGAGGGATTTCGATGTAGCAGACGGCTAACTCTATGGGTTTGGCACATTCGTCCTAATCAACGCCATCCAGCCAAAGTTCTTGAAGCAGAATCTTTGCTTGAATCATCACTGGCGACAGCCATCCTGCCGGGTCAAAAAGTTTTGCGACAGAGGATAAGATTTGTCGCTTTGTGACGGTATTCGATGTCGATGCAGGCAGAATGGTGTAGGAACACTTATCGGTGAGTGCGTTCCATTGTATACCAAGAGTTTTGGTTTGTGGAAGCGCTCTCAAATTTCAAAAAGTTGAAGTCGAGAAGATCCTCCTTTGGAAATTTTTCTAAAATGGCAGGATGATTGGCCGTTAGTTTCTTAAGTATGAAACCAGCTGACTTCAGCGCTTTGATCACTTGAACGAGTGATTCAGAGGCGTTGTCAATATCATGACTTCCGGATAGGATGTCATCCACATACGTTTCGGTTTTAAGTATTGTGGCAACCAAGGGAAATGTCGCTATCGTATCATCTGCTAATTGATTCAGGGTACGGATAGCGAGGTATGGTGCAAAATTAATGCCGAACGTTGCGGTTTTAAGATTATAATCGGTGACAGGAGAGTCAGCCGACGTGCGAAACAAGATTCGCTGAAAATCTTTATCGTCCTCGTGGATGAGTATTTGACGATACATTTTTTCAATGTCGCCATTGAACACGAATCTGTGCATTCGCCAATGCAGAATGAGCAGCATGAGATCTGGCTGGAGTGTGGGACCCGTGTGCAACACGTTATTCAGGGATTTTTCTGACCCAGATGCTTTTGGTTTGGTGGTTACCTTATCTGGTTTGACGACCGCATGATGTGACAAGTAGAAGGAGAAGTATTTGACCCTAGAAATTATCTCGCATGGCTTCGTGTGCTCCATATGACCGAGGTCGAGATATTCTTGCAACACGTTATTGTACATTGTGCCTAGGTCTCCTTTTTTTTGAAGCGATCGCTCAATACTAAAAAACTGCTGAAGTGCACCACCGAGAGTGGCCCAGAGACACAGCTTTTTTGGAAATTCTTCCTTGAATGGAAGTCGCACAATGTATCGACCGTTTGGGGCACGAGTCGTTGTTGTTGCATATATGTATATGCTCGCATGCCTGATCTTCAGGGGAAATTGTAGCCGGTCGAGTGGTCGGTGTGTGCAGACGTGCTTTTAATTCGCTCTGTTATTTTATTATCTTTTCTTTCGTAATGGAGAACTTTTTTCGGAAAATGTACTAAAGCCTTTTCAAGATCTGATGCTAATCTGCTGCCGTGTAATGGGTTTTGTAAAAAAACTTTTCATCGTGCTTGCTGCAAAGACGTTTCTGAATATGATTTCAATTTGGTCAAAACTAAACGTAATCTATTATATCTTTGTGATGAGTGTGTTATCATGCCAGAGAAAATCGTTAAGGCTCTGGATGCAGTTCTGGTAACCCAAAAGCTTAGTATTGATCTTATTTCAAACACTTGTGATGCTAAATTCAAAGATTTATTGAAACAATTTGATGCAATAAAAGATGTAATAATCTCCTTGCATTCGGCCAACAACTCGAGTGCAAATAACCTTAACGCTGTGAATGCTGATATGATGGCTGCGGAATTCAATGCCAGAAAAACTGCTGCTAATATTTCTTACAACAATAACTACTATTGTTCCTCGCCTGGTGTTTTTGAGCTTTCCGCTGTCCCTCATGCATTTAATTCGCCACGGGCACAGTTTGTCAGTAACGTTAACGGTATCTCTCCCGCTTATTTGGATTCTGCTGTGACAATCGCTACAGCTGTCAATACACTTGTAACTAACAATAGCACATACACCTCTGTTACTGCGCCTACACCGCTGTCATCCGTTGCTCTTCAATCTACACCTGCTGTCTCTCTTAGCACTGCTTCTACTAGACCATCTTGCTCGTCGTTCGCTGATGCTGTTTTGTTGTCTAATACTAATACTAATATTAATACTAATACTAGTTCGCATGGCTCTAATACTGTGCGTCAAGTTGGTGGCCTCATGGATACAAATACTGTCGCAGTTTGCACTGTCAATTTACCTTCTGTTACCACTACCGCCAAGAAGCCATCAACCCCGTGCACTGCTAATGCTGTTGTTCCTGCTAATACATCTTTAAGCTTAGTATCCAGCTCTTAAGAAAAGCAAAAACTCCATATAAAATGACGTACAAGAAATGGCTAAGAAATTTTCTTGAGTCAAATTTCCTTAAGGCAGTACGCAGTTCTTCAGAAATTTAGTACGCTTTCTACTACGGTTTTCTAAAGTTTTTTGTGAAAAAAGAGCACAAGGAAACCCAGGTTTTCAACAGAAATATATGCCCGTTCCATTATTTCTTGAGGAAAGAGTGAGGCAACAGGCTGTGCGTTATCAAAAATGTCAAAATTCCTTGGACACACACGCGAAATAATGGCAATTTTTTCTTGACCGTTTTCTTAAGAGCTGGATACTAAGCTTTACCCGATATGAGCTACGCTGCTGCTGCCGCTGCTGGCACTAATTCCGTGCAATCGAATGGAAATCGCTCTGTTAGGTCTCCTGCCGGTGCTGTTGCGGAAATCAACACTGATGATTCTTATAATTCTGCTGCTGTTAAATCTTCATCTGTCAGGCCGACTGCTGTTAGTACAATGCCAACCACAAGTGGTACGAATGTTACACATGGCAACATGCATGAACGAGGTGCTGATAAATCTGTTGATGCTATTGCGGCCGCTAATGATGATAGTGGCGACTCTGCTGCTGCCCGAAATTTAAATAGGCCCAAACGCATAAACATTGTTCATGTGCGTAATAATAATACAGATCTCGAGGTGGTCATTAAGAAGAAATGGTTGCACATTTCCTCCTTTAAACCGTCTGTATCTGAGGAAAACCTTATTGCGTATGTATCTAAACATGCAAAGATCGATAGTACACACCTTACGTGATACAAATTAGAAAAGAAAGGAACTCCACTTGAGAGTCTTCGGAGCATGAACTTTAAGATTGGTGTGATATCTTCCCTCTACAACAACATCGTAAATCCAAATGTGTGGCCGTCTGATATCATTGTGCGGCCCTTTCGATTTTTTCAACCAGAAGCTAACCAAGGAAGTTCCAAATAGTGTTATACAGTCTAATGCCGAATATACATGCAAAAATCTGAATATATACTTCCAGAATATGGGTGGAATGCATAGTGTATGTAATACTCCTATATTGGCAGTAAGAGCTAGTACCGTCCGAAAACACTACAGTACAGATATATCAATAAACACGTACGAAAGAAAAGGAACACATACGTTTATAAATAAACATGTACACAACTCATATACAAAAACAGAACTGAAGTACACAATACATTGACAAAAACAGTACTAGACTGTCTCGCTCTGATTTCGGAATGCTTACACTTTGAGAAGTTAGCTTACTGCCAATATAGAAGTATTACATATATGGTGGAATGCGCACAAAAGTATTTCTTTGTTCTTCACGTATGGATTATGGCATATATATCTTTGTGGAAACTTGGCTTAATAGTAATTTCTTCAGTGAAGAATACTTTGATCCCAACATTTTCCAGACTTATAGGAAAGACCGTGATGCTGAGAAAACTGGCCACTTCAAAGGGGGTGGTGTACTAATTGCTTTAAGGCGTAGTTTAAGGTCGTCATTTTTTGAATTGCTTAACCACGATACTTTAATTGACCAATTATGTGTGCGCGTTGTTGGCTCGTTCGGCTCTTTGTTTATCTGTGTATCATATGTCCCCCCTAACAGTTCAGATGAGTTATATAACTATCACATAGAGAATATCACACACATCTATGAAAGTAATGGAAATTGTAATCTTTGTATTCTTGGCGACTTCAATCTCCCTGGCATTAACTGGACATGCTTTCAAAACTCGGGGCGCCTTACCCCAACCAACGTTACTCGTTCGCATGAAATAAACTTTATTGATAGTCTTTTTAGCCTTAATCTTACGCAAATTAATTGCATATTCCATAAGTTATCTAAATTATTAGATCTAGTGTTTGTAGACGAAAATTTGATATCTAATCTCTCTGAATGTAAGACTCCGATCTGTTATTCTGATATGCATCATAATCCGCTTATTGTTTCTTTAGAGTTTTTTGATAGGCTCCACTTAATACAAAATAATAGGATTTCCTACAATTTTCGGGATGCAAATTATGACGTCATAAACCTGGCTATAAATAACGTAAATTGGTGTGATATCTTCAATTCAAAAGATGTTAATGCCTCTTATGAAACCTTTCTTTGCATTATGTCTGAAGTCTTCTCTGAGCAACTGGCTGCTTTACCCTCCAAGTCTCATAAATTACCCTGGTACTCTGTCACTCTAAAAAATCTGAAAAATAAGAGAAATAAATGCTACAAGGTAACTAACTATTAAATTTTATAATTTATTATAAATTTAATACAACAAATAAATAAATAAATAATAAATGCTACAAGCGCCATATGGCAAATATTCACAATACTTATCTCAAAGAGCAATACCTTAACTATGCGAAACAGTTTAATGTTCTTGATAAATTTCTTTATAACCAGTACATTAGGAGACTTGAGTCTGAACTTAAAGACAGCCCAAAAGCTTTTTGGAATTTCGTACGCTCTAAGCGGGGTAGTTCTAATATTCTGACTTGCATGTGCTTTAACGGTCAATCCTCGAAATCTCTGCCAGATACTGTGGAACTTTTTGCAATATTTTTCAGCTCGAATTTCGCCTGTGAGAGTGATTCTATAAATCTACCACGAAATTTCTGGCCGACCCAACGCCTAGATCTTGGCTCGTTGATTGTCTCGACATCTGACATTACTTACTAACTCCGACATTGAAATGTGATTCTGATGGTTTTTGTGCCCACTTCGTTAAACGATGTAGTCTGTCATTATGTATTCCTTTATGTCATATATTCAACCTATCTCTTTCGACTGAATTATTTATTAACAGATGGAAAATTGCTTTTATAACCCCAGTCTTTAAATCTGGAAATAGAAACGATATCACAAATTATAGGCCTATTTCGAAACTGTCTGTCTGCTCAAAGCTATTCGAAAAAGTGATACATTTTAAACTCTCTTTTCTTGCCAAAAGAATGATTGAGCCCCACCAACATGGTTTTGTAGCTGGTCGTTCAACGGTCACTAATTTAGCTTCTTTTTCAGAATTTTGTGTTTCTTCATTCAAAGATGGCTCGCAGGTAGACACCATTTATACGGACTTTTCTTAAGCCTTCGATAAGGTACCACACCTATTATTGCTACACAAGTTGGAGTGCATTGGTGTTCACTCTAATTTCCTAGCTTGGCTAAAGTCTTACCTTACAAATAGGACTCTGTCTGTTCATATCGATGATTGTAAATCTAATTCCTTTGTTGTAACATCAGGTGTACCCCAGGGTAGCATTCTTGGCCCCCTATTGTTTGTCCTGTTTATAAACGATATTAGCTCCTGTTTCAAACACGCCAGTTTTTTATTGTATGCCGATGATTTAAAACTCTTTCGTAGAATAGCCTCCTCATCTGACGTTCTCTTTCTTCAGGTAGATTTAGATCGTATTTTAAATTGGTGTGAATATAATAAACTGTCTTTGAATGTAAAAATGTGCTTTAAGATGACCTTATCTAAATCTCAAAATACCCTAACTTCAAATTACTTCCTCGTAAACCATCAGCTTACTTCTGTTAGTGAATTTGTTGATCTTGGTGTTGTGTTTGACTCGAATTTTTTCATAAATCATGTTTGTCATTTACTCCCAAAAGTTTATAGTAATTTAGCAATTATTCGTAGATATGCCAAGGATTTTAGAGACCCTTACACTTGGAAAGCATTATTTAATTCCTTAGTACGATCTAAACTTGAGTATGCCTCTATTATATGGAGCCCTATTTATAATTGTCACGCCTCTAGGATTGAGCGAGTTCAAAAGGTGTTTATTCGATTTGCCCTCGCTTCTCTTAACTTATCAGATCCGATTCCCTCGGTGTAAACTAATAAATTTGCTACCATTGGAAAATAGAAGGCGTATCCAATTACTCTTATTCGTCTTCGATCTTATCTCTGGCTCCATTGACTGCCCATCTCTTCTTGTGCAGGTTACCTTTAATGTGCCTCTCAGAACTCTTCGCTCTCACATCTCCTTTTACGTTCCTGCTGTTAAGACCAACTACCCATCTTTTGCGCCTATTTTTCGAGGCCTTGTGGAATTTAACAATATCTCAAAGAGCTTAGATATCGACTTTTCGTTTCCAAGAAGTCTTTTTAAATCATCTCTTGAAACATATTTTCGTAATTGTACATATACTAGTCACCGTTAATATTTTTAAGCCTACTTCTAGTCTTTAAGATTGTAAATCATCGACTGAATAAAGATTAAAATAAAAAATAAATTCGTGGAGGTTGTGGAATCTCCTCCTCTTCCCAAAACTTTCTAAGCTGAGAGCTGAGAGTTGTATTCGAGCACTCCTCTACTTGTGTCGAGAATGACACCGTATTTTTGGTTATTCGACCACTGAGAATCCAGCCAAATATTGTTATTTTCGCAAGTATAGTGTCGCAAATCTTTTGTATACCTTCCAGCAGGATTTGTGGAAGTATATCGCTGCCGATTACCATATCAGTTTGAGCTAGTATGTGGCAACTTGGGTCAGGAAGTTCAAGGATCTTGAATCGCTGCCAGTTTTCACGGCTAATGGCAAATGTAGGCATGTGCCTCGAGAGCTGAGGGAACACGATAGCCTGTAGGTTTATCCGTTGCATGGTTTTGGGTGCAACCAATGTGAGTGGACAAAGCTTTGAGGAGCTTTGTACTACGTGTCCACCCATGCCGGAAATTTCGAACTTGGAATGTTCGAATGGTAGTTTCAACCGTTTCTGAGCTTTTGACGAAATGAAAGTTCTCTGTGAGCCTTGATCAATCAAGGCTCTAAGTTGAAACTAGGGATGTTACGATACAAGTAAATACAAGTAGGTACTCGATACTTTCATCTTGAAACCAAGTACTTTTGGCATCGATACTTTTACCAAATACAATAAGTAGGTATCGGATAAAAGTACTCATACATAAACTCCCATCGCTTGTAAAGCAAAAGTACGAATGCCAAAATATAAGGTAGAGCAATAAGTGAGAGCACAATATTCGATCAACTCAAAGCCATTTGAGCAACAGAGCAAACAAAATTTACCGTTGCTATTGTGGTTTGCTATACCTCATTTCATTTGAATTTCATTATCTTGGTGGCGTTGCTTCAACTGAAAGTTAAGCTTGTAGAAACAGTCCGCAGAAAAACTAATTTAGTACGTATTAACCAAAGTATTTTACATACAACATATTTGTGAAATGGCGCCATCCTCCGAAGTGTGGAGATATTTCACAAAATCTAACTCCTCCGAAGCTTCATGTAAAATGTGCCCAAAGAAGGTCAGATTTTGTGGAAACACATCAAACTTACACAAGCACATGAAAGTGCATGAAATAAATACATCAAAGAATAAGTAAGTAGTTAAATACACTTTAGCTCATCTAATGTTTTTCACTGATTTGGCTTGATATACCTTTTTTTAGCGTTGAGTAAGGTAATGGAAATCCAAAACCAAAATGCAGCGAAATAAAAAACATGTTTCAAAATATAAATTCTTACAAAGGTAAATGTAAAACGGTGGGACTTTTATCACACAATACGGGCAAGGGGTTTGGTCCAATTGGATTTAAAACTCATATATGTACATACTATATGAAGTACAATCACGAAAAACCGTAATCGTCTATTGGGGAAGCACTTAGAAAAACTTTTATTTCTTGGAAATATTCCAGAAGCTGAATTTTTTAATTAAATACCTTTACATATTTAATATGTATGTATTATTAAAAAAGAATTGACTTTAAACGAGAATAGTAGCAAGGTATTTTCTTCAAATATGTTTTCAAAACATTGCAGTATATGTATTCACTTGGTACATGAAAAATACCAGAAAGCCTTAATAAACAAATCTTTAATACAAATGTATTTTTTATTATTTGTTTGCTTGACGATTGTTAAATCGTTTGGATAGAGAGACATCATTTTGGACATGTTTTAATTGGATCTTCACGGTCAACCTAAGATTTTTGAGTAAAAGTAGCAAGCTAGCTGGCGGAAAATGAGTAAATAAAAGTACATACTCGATACTTTTTGGTTGGTATCGGCTTGGTATCGATGCCTTTTCAGAAAAATACTTCCAAGTATAAGTATCGATACTAAAGGTTATTTTCACATCCCTAGTTGAAACAATTCCCCTTCGTGTTCAACCGCGACCATGGCAGTTGGAGGGAGAATTTTGCTATCATTGTCGGTGTGCAATGATTGTATTTGTGCTTATTTGGAACAGCTCGGTTGCTCGCTGGAATTGTAGCTTGACTGCGCTTGTAGAGCGGGAGGTGTCAACTGGGCAGTAGTGTGTTGTGCGGCGGTTTCATTCGCTCGCGCACTGGAGTGTCGAGATTGTGGTTTGGGATTCATGTGCAGCAGGGAGTGATGCCATTGTTGGCACTGTGTACATGACCACTTGCTCGGACACTCATTAGTGCTATGGGTATTACCAAGGCAGTTTTTGCACAGCTTGGTTTGGTTTGCGAGTTGTACTCGGTTTGGTACTGAAATTCGCTTAAATTGTGGGCAGACTCTAATGGGATGAGGGGACTTGCAGTAAGAGCAAGTTGTTCCCTCTTAGGTTCTGCCACAAAGGTTTGAGTCCTGTTAAAGGACCTGTTTTGCGCAGCATTTTGATGAGTGCCTGGTTTTTTTATTTTGGCTTGGATCAAGCCGGTTATGTCTTTCGACTACTTCGTATCTTGAAGTAAGAAAATCGTCCATTCGTGACCATGAGGGTAAATCTCTTCGAGAAGAGAGAGATTGTTCCCAAAGTGACAGTGTGGTTTCGGGCATTTTGGATGAGCATATGTACACCAATATGGGATCCCAACTGTCTGTCTGGACGTCTTGGGAATTAAGAACTGACAGACAGTTGTTAATTGATGTTTGCAGCCTTTAAAGTTGCTAGCTATTCTCGGATTGAATAGCCGGCAAGGTCATCAAAATTTTAATTTGGTTGTCAACCAGGATACGTTTGTTTTCGTATCGTGGCCGTAAAGCTTCGCAGGCCAGCTCGAAGTTATCATCGCTGAGCGGGTATTGCTTGACGATGGAGCCGGCTTTTCCTTGGGTTTTGTATCGGAGGTGATACAATTTATGAGCACGGGAGAGCTTCGGGTGGTTGATGTACACCGCTGTGAACATGTCACGAAAAGCGGGCCATTAAATTTCCGAGAAAATTAAAAATTTGCCTACTTACTACTTTCCTTGATT